TAACCTTCTGGACTTAATTACCATATGATTCCAATACCTATTAGTGGCATTTATGAACTGCAAATGAATAAAAAAGTTTTAAAGATCTCTATTCTGTTTATGTTCCTTTGAACACCTTTCTTACTCGGTAACAGTATATGTGAGAAGGGCCATGTCTCTGTTCATGAAGATGGATTATCTTTGAATATCCTTTTTGTCATCTGGTTTCCTCTACTTAGAAGAAAGGGCCATTTGGAAAATCTGATTTCCATAAGGAACAAGGCATGTCAAGATCTCAGTTCCAAGATGTTTTGCAGCAGCATCTGTGGATTTTATGAGATGGAGTCAGATATGTTGGGGGGGGGGGGAAATGTAGAACAGCATGGCATGTGAACAACTAAGAGTGATGATTGTGAATGACCTGTGACAAATGTTTTCTTGATGTATAATACTAGTGTTAGCTATGATAAACTTTTTGTGCAAACAGAGAACCAAACATAAACACGGCTCTAAATCAAACACACTGCAGAAGCCTTTGCAGTTCATAACTTCTGATTATTATGCCTGTGTTAACAACTTTTTTTCAATATAAATATTAGAAAGCCCTGGAATTTTCTCAGATAAAAAAAAACACTGAATCAAGATTTGTAGTAACTGGTATGATCTAAGTTAATGAGAACTAAGAGAGCAGTGACTGATAACTCAATTATTTCATATTGGACTGATATGACTTTACAATTGAAGTACCTAAATTACTTCAGCAAATCTAAATTGTGCTGCAATCAATCAAACATATGATTGTAAATATGGAGTGATTGTTGCAACAAGTCAATTCAGTTGGACTGTTACTATTATTGCACCTCTACTCTGTTGGATTATGATAACTTTCAAGTCACTTTAACTATAAAAATATAGAAAGGCATCAATATGCAAGCTAAAAAAAATAAAATATACTTTACTCTATGGATATGAAATTAACATACTGCAACATTATAGATGAAAAAATTAACACACCTTACCACATACCAATTCATAACACCTAATTAGTCAGGGTATTAAATCTAGAACCATTCATTGCATAAGTCCGAAGAAGAATATGATAATACATACAGCATCTTTCCATTGTTCCTATCTATATGATGAAAATATTCCTTTAAGTTGATGTAAACAGTCATGCAAATATTATGTTTTTAAACTTCATCTTATATATGCATATACATGAATATAAATTGTATATCAGTTAATGAAAAATTTGCAGTTTCTGTAGACGTTTACACATTCAGTCGTTTTTTTCGTGGTGCTTCATGGGAGAGGGGGGTGGGGACTGATGCCCTGAATTGTATTAACACTAACCACAAATACATATAACAGATATTACATTGTTAAAAGCACAAATGTTATTATATTAGATTATATAATACACGTCTAGATATGATGTAAAACAGAATCACTGTTTGTCTAACACAGAACTTAAAAGTAGTAATGGTTAAGGATCCTACTTTTGGAAAGAAACACCAGTTTCCTTGATATCAGTTCCTCTTTAATTGAAGAAGACAAATATTTTCTGTATTCTACAGTTGACACAAATCCTTTACAATGAATATAGTGCAATGACGCCTCAAAACAATAACACTTTTTCATACTCTTTTGATTTTATTTGGTATTTATATTATAAGCTGCTTAGTAGTCTAGGTAACCTATGAAAGATGGCCATGTGAAGTGCAGGGAATATGTATTATGCACTGCTTAGAGCTACTTATGATTACGCCATGTTTTACTTGAAACAAAAGTTATTTGATGCTGAACCTCTATATGGTGAATGACTCACAAGTTAATTCATGCGTTTTGTATTTACCACTCCATCCACTGTATCCTCACATAAGTTCCATAACCATGATGGACATAAACACTAAAATTTACACTAGATGAAAGGAAATACAGCCACGATATGAAAGGAAATTGAATATACCATTTTGAATTCATCATGAGTTCCTCATCAGACAAAGCAAATAACCAAAATTGATTTGTTTTTTTCTTTATCTGAAAAGGAGCTCTTGAGGAGTTTAAAATGTTGTTTAATTTATTTTCATACTATGGCTGTGTTTTCTTTCATTCATAACCATGTCCAATATCAATATCAACAGCTTTATCATTTTAGTTATCCTTCTGGTTAACTACAGAAATGAGATCATGACTGAATTTTGTCAGATTATCTAAAAATATCCAAACTCCTGTGATAAAATGTAAAGGTATTAGATCACAATGATTTATTGTCTGCAATCTGAATTAGATTAAGGATATGTGTGACTGTTCATGTGTTCATAAACAGTTTGCCACATGACCAGATAGACAGATATGCTTCAGCTGATTTTCAGTTAAGGCCCCTCCAAATTATCGATGCAGCGTGACAGGAAACCAATATTACAAAATCACATCCTAATCTAAACATTTTGAGTGGGTGGCAAGCAAGAGTGGTGATGTCATAAGTAGGAAATCCACTTGCTAAATACAGGCAAACCACCAAAATACCTGCTGTGGACAACAAATTTTGCTTGGTACTGGCCAAAGCCCATTGGGCACTGCTCAGTCTGGTAATACAGCAAACACAGCGTGGAATATATGCCCAGCAGTTGTGTGGATGGAACTACGAGGCTGAATCAACTAATTTTCAGAGATGGGCAGAGTATGCGGGAATAAGGATTGGAAAGCATAGAGGAGGTGGATGATGAGAAGGAAAACATGAGAAGGTGAAAAGGGAAGAGAGAGAGAGAAAGAGGAAAAAAAATAAGGAAAGGATGCAGAGAAAAATTACCTAACAACCTTACAGCATGAGAAGAAATGGAGAGAGAAAGCCAACTACTTACTTACTAAAAATATCACAATATATTGTGTCATACTAAACATGAAAACAATATTCTGTAAACTATGATAAAATCTAATGCCTCTCAACCTTTATTTTCATATTGGAAATACAATGAACATGATGTCTTAATTGCAGCTTCAGAAGGTCTCTGTAATTATGAAAAAATGCATGATCTTTTTACACATTTCACCTTACAACATTTTCATGCAGAAATTATATTTTTAGAAATTTGGTAATTGAATCTATGTATAACAATGAAAGTTATTGTTTTTCCCTATGATATATTTTAAAGTATTTAAGTTCCAGTTTTGAATCCTTTTCATTATTGGTCTAATAAATGACATTAAATTCTTAATAAAAAAACAAAAAAACATTCTATTCAGTAGACAGAAAACTTCAGTATATATGTAATTGTGAATGTAAATATATGTATATCTACCTATATATACAAAGTATATGAGGACAAACACATCCAAATGTTTTGTTTATTTATACTTTCATCTTTAATATAAACATTGATACGTTTATGTCTATGCACTACATTCTCATAATTGTTGTGCAATTAGGTGAGCATATTGATTCTTTTGTTATAAATAAAAGTTTTAGTAAGCAAAACTTTTACCAAATGCATTTTTGGTATATCGGTCTAAGAGTACCTTTGGACATGCATGCCCTCATATCTATCTCTCTCTATCACACACACACACACACACACACACACACGCGTGCACACATGCAAACGTTACACACGCGCCATTATCCTTGCTGAAAATAAAATAATGGGTTTTAGTAGTTGCATGTCTTCAGTACTATGAAGGAAATGAGTAGCAGTTACATGAAAATGAGAATTACTACACTCCCTCTGTATTAGAAAATACATCCAACTTATCTTTGCTGTATGATTTACTTTGATACTATATATTAGGCCATATCAACATTTATGGTCATTTATGCTGTCATATTAAAACCTGTACAAAGAGTTGCAAGAATATCAAGTGGGATGTCTACACAAGCAGGCATGATTGGCGGATACATCAGCAAGTAACTTTAAGGGTGATGTACAGGCGAGAAAACAAGGAAACCATGTTTATCGAGTAGTTTATCTGCTCGTGATGCTGACTATTTGTGCCTGTCCTTGTGCCCTTTGATCATCCCCACTTGTGTGGATAGGCCTTAAATGAAAAAAAATTAAATAGGATTTTTACAAAACTATTTCAATTCTTTACTTGGAAAATTGCAATTGAATAAAAAAAAGAAAAAAAATAAATTACTTTACGTCAACCAGAAAGACATTTTCTCACACATTTCAGTGAACAGGACGATATCTCTTATTAAGTGTAGTAATGTAACATGCACGAATGTTCCAAACTCTTAATAATTAGAATACGAAATTTAGTTTCAATGGATACTTTTGAAATCCTAAATTATCTTTTTTGACTGACTTTGGAATCAAACTACATTACTTTCATTGCAACACATACAGTACTGTGTGAACAATACTGAATTCCAGAATAATTTACACAAATGTTGGAAGATTTACTATATTTATTGATAAATATTAACCACCTAAATTAATACATTGAATTTGATTAAAAAGTTTAAATTACATTTTCAATAACTTGATGTAAATCATGCCAGTCTTAGCTTCTGCTTCGGCCTTTAAAATATAAATGATCATTTTGTAGTTCCACCTGCATAGTATCTCTTATGATATTTGGCTCTATTTCCTCGAATTACCTTTACTAATATAAGGATATATTAAAGTTCCATCATTGAATGCAACGAAGATCAAACTAAAATGACCATTTACATCAAGAGCAGTTTTTTTTGTATCAATCATTTATTATTATAAGCTTCTTGATATGAAATCCTGAAGAGTTTAAAGAACCCATGAATCATATAGCAAGTTCTAATGTCTAGAAATACATAGTTTTTAAAATCTGCAATAGATGAGCATAATTATTCACCTATATGATTCATGTATATTACACTAATATCCTTATTTTATTCAATAAGAAGGTTTTTAAAGGTTCCTTGTAATGTAATATACAAGTGGTATTTTATCTGCAAAAAAAAATTAAATGTAAGCTAGCATAAATTAAATGACCCGCCCCTAAACAAAATAAAAGAAAGAGGCCAGAAGAAAACTAAAGACAAATCAATTTCTTTTCTTTATTCAATTGGCACACACCAATTATTTGGCACAATACATGAATCAAGAACCATTTTTTTTAGTAAGTATTTTGGGTAAAACGGAATGTCTGAACACAAGATATTTGTTCATAAATTTAATTATCTTTTATTTTAAATTACAATTAAATTACCCAACATTGCACGAGAGCTGTTCTGTATCATGTCCTAATGTCACTGTCAGAAGACCCACAACCCCACTTTCAATCATACCCCTTGAAAGGCACTGAGTCCACCATAACAAAAAAATAAAAAAACAAAAAAAACATTTGAGCAACAAATTAGACTAGACTGTTAACCAATCAACAGTACACTGCATGTGCATAACAAAAGAGGTAAAAAAAAAAAAAAAAAAAAAGAAAAGAAAAAAATCGAGATTCACTGTAAATCAAACAGTAAGCAGTGTAGGAGCAAAACCATAATGAAAGCTGCAGTCTTTCAAGGCCATCAAAGCCTCAACATTGTCAGAAGCTCAAGAAGGTGCTTCTTATGGCATGTCACTTGCTGCTGCATCTATTTGCTGTCTGATATCTTCCATAACGGATGAAGAAGAAAAAAAAAAAAGTTTGAAAACATCATCACTGAAGTGAAGATTATGTAATATGCCACAGAGTATGAAATACATTTGAATATAGAAAAAGTTCACACTTAGAACCCTCTGTTGATGATACTGGCAGGTAAGTGGACATGGTCAGTTTAAACATTTTCTGAAACAACTGTATCCTTTGCTTAACAGTCTGCAATTCTTTCCCCAAGAAAGGAGATCAACATTTCTACAAAATCCCATTTACAGTTGCTAATCACAGTTGCTGCCCTGATCAACATCAGATATCCAAGCGAGGCATTGTATCTTGAAACATTCTGCACGCAACTCATGCTGAGTCCGGCAGCATTTCTACTTTCCGTTGCCTTTGATCTTGGAGTCGATGTAGGCCTGGATGTTAGCAAAGGAGTCACGGCCTAAGTAGTCGGGTTCTCCTCTCTCCCACCTTGCCTGGCCCTCTTGGAGAGACTCGGCACCAATGTGCATGCCACTGATCTGCTGCGCAATCTATTGGGGAGAAGCAATGTTATTAGCAAATGGTATCTTTGAGTAAATGTAATATAAAAAACAAAATTTATGTTCTTGAGCTTTATTATAACTGGAGGAATGAAAAAAAAATAAATAATAAAAAAAAATAAATAAAAAGTGAAGGTCACTGGTTTCATATGGCCATTCAAGTAAACTAGAACACTACTGCTATGACATCACCGTAACCTCTTATCAACAATCACAAAGCATAATGTAAGTGAATAATAAAAACCATGTGATATCCATCACATGAGAGGAAACCATCCACAACTAATTCCATCAACATGAAAGCTCTTTGCTTTTAATAATCTGAGCTACATTAATGATAAACATGCATCAAGGTACATCCCAGTAACCTAACTTGCCTAGTCCAAGAAATAAAATAATAGACCTAAACCAATAATAATTAGAACATGTTTGTTGCTTGACCATCAGGAACTATAACCAATAAAGAGGAAAGTCTCCCCCACCTTTACTTTTCTTCTACGAGAGCCACATGCACCATTAATGCAAATCAATACAGTTCTGCTAATGTCCCTCCTCCACCTCTCATTTCTTCCTTTCATCATACTATTCCTTATTCGACGTGTGCAAAAGAGAGAAAGCTTTAGGTGCAGTGATATTTACTATTATGTTACCTGAGGTTCTTCCCCTCTATCACTGCCTGCACTGCAGACACACACACTTGGCTCTATGTCACTCCTCAGAGCAAGTGCCTCTGAAAAACTAACACACTGTGCTCTCTCTGTATTGCCTCCAACTTTGCAAGTCAAATTATGACTATTTTTTACCTCGTAGTCTCCATTTACTGAACTCGTGGAACTGGATTCGTGGTTTGAGTGAACAGAGCTAGAAATTTCTTGTACATCCTATAGGGCAGCATGTTAGGGAGGATGGATGGTGGGTTAGTTACTAAAGTTTATTATTGTTAGTAATATAATCATCCTACATTGCATCTATGCCTAAGAATACCAATAAGAAAGCACCAACTCATAAAAAACTAACTAACAAACACACACACATACATACAAACACAAACACACACACACACACATACACAAACAAACACACACATACACAAACAAACACACACACACACACAAACAAACACAAACACACACACATACACAAACAAACACACACACACATACACAAACAAACACACACACACATACACAAACAAACACACACACATACACAAACAAACACACACACAAACAAACACACACATACACAAACAAACACACACACACATACACAAACAAACACACACACATACACAAACAAAAAACACACACATACACAAACAAACACACACATACACAAACAAACACACACATACACAAACAAACACACACATACACAAACAAACACAAACATACACACACATACACAAACAAACACCACACATACACAAACAAACAACAACACATACACAAACAAACACACACATACACAAACAACACACACATACACAAACAAACACACACACACACACACA